ATAACATGGAAAGGGATCTTATGGGCCTGAAGAAAGTTCTTGACAGCATGCAGACTGGCAAAGGGCACATGGATGTCCACAGGCAGGTCAGTGGAGGCCGGATGAGTCCAGAAATCCAGCTAAATATAAATGGTTAATGAACATCTGATGAATTTCCATATAAATGTATGTGGGATAGACTCCCGTTTTCGCAGTACACGCACACACAATCTAAGCTGCTTTATGGACCCAGACACTTCTTGCTGTGAGGCGACAGCACTACTTTTTGCAGTACTACAATTTAAATCTCACAATAGAACAAAAATTGGCAGGGCAAAGTTTCAGCAAAGTCCATGTGCGTGTGTAAGATCGCCTTACCTCCCACCCCTCATCATCCTCCAACTCCTTCAGCAGCTGAATGTGCTCCTCAGATTCTGCATTGATTCTAAGAACCTGGTCTCTGTTGAGGAAGAATGTGGATTACAAAACGCCATCCAGATCAGTCTTAGTCACAAAATGGAGAAATGGACTGAAATCCAGACAGCTAATACTGCAGCATCATCTCAATCACTGAACAGGCAACTTTTAGCATTTATCAGCTTATATATCCTGAGCTCAGTTTAAGGTGGGTTGTAAAAGGATGATGTCCCACAAGGAAAAAAGACCCTGTGTTACACCCCCTGCCTGAAATCCATCTACTGTATTTTTAAGGTCTGCACACCAAGTTACCTTTACTATATGAAAAAACAACACAAAGTCATCATAGGATAAAGTCACAAGCCAGAATGGAGCAACAGCATGGCAGAAGGGGAGCCAACAGAGAAATTTTCTCCCTCAAAAAGGTCAAAACTCACATATCCCACCCAGCAATGGAGAAGGAATAAAAATGAGTGTCATGAACGTGTTTGCAGTCACAAACTTTGCATGTATGAAGTAAAAGGCATGAAGCTTAATTTTACATAAGAACCTTATTCTGATTGAGATCTAATCTTATGTTCTTCTGCTAGACAAGGTTAAGTCTGGTTTGAAAAGTGTAAGATCTCATCATTTTCTTGTATATCTCTATTCTATATGTACCCAGACAGCGGGCATATATCCATCCGCTGGCTTGACAAGGTCAGCGCCCTGCTGGCTGTTTGCCACTTCTGTCCTGCATACAAGTTCCACCTAGTTTTTAATCTCCTCAAACAGATTTTAAATGCACTTAGCCTTTTATTTTAGAAGACAAACATTACAAACACCTGAGAGAGGAAAAGATAATGAGTAGGTCTAATGTAAAGTGATTTTATAGACAATGTTATTGCTGACACTGTGCTTAATTCAAATGATTTACAAACCTAATTTACAAAGTGTAACTAAAGAAAGGAAGGAAGGAAAATGAAGTAAATAGGACTGTGAGTGGAAAATTAGCAATGAAAAGTGGATTTTTTTTCTAATACTCTGCTTAAACACTGGTGGGCCAGCCAGAAATCGCTAAGCACAATGCCAGTGGACCACCAGTTTTGCCATCAGTGGGCCAACAGTGGTCCACTATCCTGTTGCTATCAGGGTAGAAGGAGAACTCATGCTTTTCTCATTTATCATGAGAACTTCTTATGATTAAATGCTGATATTAATCTCCTCTTTTCACCTAAGAGGGGTTCAGGAGAAAGAATTCAGAAATCAGTGATCATTAATACAACATTGAGATCTGCTTTATTTCTTTAAGACATTTTTTTCTTTTGGGTGGTTTTGTTTAACAGGCAGCTCGGCAGACTGCTAACAGGCTAACAGGCTAATCCAGTGAAACTCAGAGTTAGGCTTTAAGATGAAATATTTAGTAAATGTTTCACTGTAAAACTGGAACTTACAAAGGAAAAAGATCTTATCTTAATGTCTGTTACAAGCTTCGTCTGTGTGAAGACTCGAGCCATGCAGTGCTGAACCCAGTGTGGGAAGAAAACTTGTTAGCTTGAAGCTAAAGTGTAAAGTGTAATCTCATATTCCCGCTAACAGAAATGAGGATTATCGTCATGGGTGTTTTTGATTAATTGAAGCTGTCAGTGAAGTAAAGCTTTGACTCAGTTTCATGCAGGGACTTTCAAATGTGCCCACAGCCGTGTTCACACAGAGCGCAAGGTATTTTGCTGTCGGACAGACTGTCAGTAAAAGTCATCCGCAACTCACACATCGAAAGCCCAGCTCTATTTTACTTCAGACAAAGTGGGAAATTGTAGTAAAAATGGCTTATAATCAAACAACATTCCCAGTTCCAAAACATCATGACCCACCTGAATTAACAGAGGATCAGGAACAACTTAGCCAGCAAGCATTCGCATTAGCTCTCTAAATTTCCTTGCTAAAGTAAAATATCATTAATATTGTACTCTTTATTTAAACTAGACTAGTGCTGAGTGATAGTGACACACAGTGAGCATCATTAAGTGGACAGTTTTTTTTATATTTTTTTGTAAATACTGTAAATGCACAGTATGCTACTACAGAAAACACACTCAGAAAGTATCTTTATGATGTTAAAGCAAAAAAAAAGTATACCTATAGTTCATAACCACCTTTGTTTTTACTGTGACTGTGTATAACTCAACTCTAGCTAAAATCAATAAACTTCACTGTTATGAGCATTTACGAGTGGACATGCCTGAAATGTTCTTTCACAATGGTATTATAACTTACCCTATGAAGAGCTTATGGCAGTGAGCAGCCACAAGGAGGGCAAAGACAGCTAGGCAGGGCCTCATGATCCTTTTAGCTGAAAGATTTCATCTGCCTCTTATATACAGTCTTACATCTGAGCTCTTATACTCTCCCTAACATGTGTGTAGTTCTCAGCACTATCACACAGTGTTGATACAAGTCAACTTTTCCTTCTTAAAAATGTTGCAACACCCTGATATTTTTGGCCACAGACGTGACATTTGTTTTAACAGCTGGCTATCGCAGACTGGTTCCCATTTACCTTTGATTTTTTCACTGACCTTTTAAGTATCAGTACTTTTTGTCCACAGGTCTGTTAGTGGGAGCTGTAGCATGTATGGGTCTCTGCTGAATTATGGTGGTTTATAATACTGAAAGCTAGTAGAATGCTGGCTAGTTGTCTAGCCTCAGTCTGTTATTATTACTCTACACTGTAATTGCATAAAAAAAGTGGTTTGTAATCATAGAATGGTGACGATATCACCAAACGCTGCATGTCAACTTTTAGAGTACTCAGACTAGCATTGCGTAACAGTCTGACCACTTGATAAATGTCATCTTTTAAAGATGGCTAGGAGAACGCAAACATACATCAAATATATGCAGCCATATACACCGATCAGGCATAACATTATAACCACCTCCTTGTTTCTGCACTCATTGTCCATTTTATCAGCTCCACTTACTATATAGGTGCACTTTGTAGTTCTACAATTACAGACTGTAGTCCATCTGTTTCTCTGCATACTTTGTTAGCCCCCTTTTACCCTGTTCTTAAGTTGTCAGGACCCCCATGGACCCTCACAGAGCAGGTACTATTTGGGTGGTGGATCATTCTCAGCACTGCAGCAACACTGATGTGGTGGTGGTGTGTTAGTGTGTGTTATGCTGGTACAAGTGGATCAGACACAGCAGTGATCCACTCACTGTCCACTCTATTAGACGCAGTCAGAGACGATAGCTCATCTCTTGCTGTACCGTTTGAGCTAATCATCCTCTAGTTCTTCATCAGTGCCCACAGGACGCTGTTGACTGGATATTTTTGGTTGGTGGACTATTCTCAGTCCAGCAGTGACACTGAGGTGTTTAAAAACTCAAGCAGCACTGCTGTGTCTGAAAAATTGGTATGTCTGTAACTTCTGATCCCCTGAACATCTGGTATAGTAAATAAAGCCTGAAATAAATCTGTCTCTTAGCTACTATTTTTACCTCTTATGGAAATAAAGAACATACTCTAATTGACTTAACACAGGAAATGTATGATAACATGAAATGTGTGGAGCTGTAAATGGAGTTTGAATGTCCTAAGCCCCGGTGTATGCAAACTTTTGGCCGCACCTGTACATTGATGTTGTTCTGTACCAGGGCATGAGAGTCTGGCCCGAGAGGACGTTTGATTTGGCCCACCAGAAAATTATTCTAACCCCACCTACCTCCCCCACCCAATGAGAGCAAACATATTTTTACACTATATAAAATAATATAACTATTAATTACTAATTAAATTCCAATTTTACATATTTTTAAGAACAATATATAAATAGTGACTAAATATGTAATATGTAAAAATGTAAGATTATAAAATACAACACAAAATACTACCTACCTTCTTTTTATATATATTGTTTTGTCGTTTTGGCCCTCAGCTGACTATAAACATTGCACTTGCCTCCTCCTCCACAATAAAAATAAATTCGGGGCACCCTGATCTGGACATGGTTTTGTTATTAAGACTATGACATTTAACACAAGATTTGTTTATATATTCAACAAAGCTCCTGAGTAAATAAGCCTAAATTACGTCGACCGCTGTAGCTGTGCACTTTATTTTAGAGGTGGGCACATCAATACTGAAGGATAGGTGCTTTTCAATGCTGACGTTTCTTTTTGAGAATTGATTTTCACATGAAAAGATCCAAAATAAGCATTTTCCATAAGCACTAGACTGAAATCATGAATGACATCCTTATCAAACTGAATGTGTCTTTGATGCTGAAAGAGTGAGAAGAAAGCTGGCACATCAGAAACCCTTGCAAGCTATACACACTTAAAAAAGGATGTTTTTTCAAGGGTTCTTTAGTAAAGGGAACCAGGAGTCCTACATAGAACCATTTCATGCTTAACACATTCTCCATCAATGTGAAGAACCATTTCACCATTTAAAAAAACATAGAACCATTCCCTTTGCTAAAGAACCTGTGAAGAACCATCTTTTTGAAGGGCGGACAGGAGTTTAGTTGTGCACTACCCCTCAGAGTAAGTCTGCAGCGTAGTGTGTAGTGTTTATGGCTCGATTTGGGACGCGCCCGGCCGCTCGATGACGCACTTCCCCGTCTCTCCAGCGGTAGCAGAACTGCAGTTACACGGAAAAACAGAGAGCAGCGATCAGTTTTTAACTTTAACACTTTATTCTGCGGTTTAAATTCAGCTCAACTACGATAAAGTGGTCTGCTTCAAGATAGGCAGTCATGGCGCTCAGTGATGCAGATGTCCAAAAACAGGTAAAGTGGACAGAAGTTCAGTTTTGTCAGTGTTTGACTCTGTTAGCTCACAGTAAACACAGTAAACAGTGAATAATGTTAGTCACCGGCTGTTAAAACTCATTGGACATGCATTTAAGACTAACGAGCTGGCTTAAAAGGACTTTAATTATGTAATTGGGCGCTAAATGGTCAGTAAGAAAGTTAGGTTACCTCATTAGCGCCTTATGTTTCAGTACATTTAGCTATTTTGTTAATGATTATTGTCCATATATGAAAATCTTCAGGATCTTTGTATAGAAGTAATTCTCGCTACATTTTTCTTAATAAATTCAGTCTTTTGGTCAGCATTGGACTACTGACCTCTAATAAAACATTCTTCAAATTTAAAAAAAAATTGAGAATGACAGTATGAAAAAAAAGGCTGATCAAAAAGAACATTTTAGGCAGAAATTTGAATACTTTTTAGACCAATCAGACAATCCTGAGGCATTTTTCCTTATACTAATTCTAAATTTAGTTGTTTCTCACCAAAAATTACATTAAAATGTACTTTCTGGTGAGCGAAGGCCCTGCAGAGACAGAATGGACAGAAAGAAAGAAACCGCAAATGGAGAAATGAAAGCAAATGTTGCATAGTTGTGAGTTTTCCTTCTTTTCTTCAACTCAGCTCATACAGAGATAACAGCTGATGAGTTGAATGACAAATAAAGAGACTAAAATCTAAAATGCTGGACTCTTTTAAGCTGAAAAGCTTAACTGTATATTCCTGTCAGCTTCCAGCAATGCACAAAATCAATGATATGTTAGGCTCGACTAATAACGACAGCGTTTTCCTTTCATTTCCTTTTATTTCCTTTCATTCATCTCGTTTCTCCTTTTACAGATTCCAAGTTTGCTTAATACTGCAGCTCTTTTATAAAACTATGGTTAACTCTTGTAGATCTCATACGTCTCTATAACATTCAACTTAATGTAGTCTTTACTGTAAATCACACACAGAGCTCAAGATTTGATGTTTACTAAAAGGTCTCTGAGGACAAATTCAGAACTAGTAATGACGATGTAATATAAATATGAGCTGCAGTGACTTTTTGTCCTTCCTTTTTACCCTCATCTCTCTGCGCATTAGCTAAGAGTATGAAGATTTCCTACCTTGAAATCATTGGCTACAATGACCACAGTTTGCGGTTTTACTAAGGTGTTAAAATGTACTGAAAATGTTTAAAAAGCACAAATACACATTGAAATAATTTCTCCACAGTTATTATATTGATAGGTCTGTATTTGACCCCATCAGCAAACGTCAACTAGAGTTTAAATCAATATGAAGTTATCACCAGCACTGCTACTGCTGTGACTGAGTTGCTTGTAGTGTCAGCATTAGACACAACCTTTTAAAAAGATGGTAATAATACTTGGTGATCTGAATTATTTCAGTTTGAGATGATCTAATAAATCAGACAGGCATTTTGGCCTAAAACTACCGTTCATTGTTTTTTGCTGTGTTATTCAGAGCTCTGTAGAGCAACATTATCTCCCTCAGCTTCATCGTTTTGATAGAATTCAGGATTTTGTCTCCATGTTTTTGATTTTTCATGTTTTTCTTTATCTCACTACAAAACCCAGCATGCATTATGCACGCATATAAATATATAAATATATAAATACAACCATTAGAAATCCCTGTGGTGTCACCCAGTCCTGTCTGCTAGCCTAGCCACTGAACTACAGGCTAATATATACAACCAAGCTAGCATTAGTGTAACTCATATCACGGTCAGAGAACAAAATAGTAACGAAAACAGCGATTCTGTCTTCATTCTGCACAAAATGGATGCTAGAGACAAGTTTAGTGCTCTTTCAGACAGCGCAGTGAAGCCAAACTGAGGTGTCCAGCTAGCTACCTTGCTAACTTTAGCTTATAGCTTGATGTTCTCTTCATCCGAGTCAGTTTTGTATTATGAGTAACCCATTTCCACTCCACTGTATTGATGATTTGAAGCCAATTACTACAATTTCACAGCTAAAAAAAGATGTTTGGCTTTCTAGCAGTAACATAAGTGTCTCACTTTCGAGATATACCATCAGAAGGGGCTTTTTTGAAGGCTTTAAATGTGAAAATCTCAGTCTAGGCACTACTGCAGCACTGCTGGGTGTGAGTTAGTTATGTTTACAGATGTACAGATGGTTACATTTTTTATTATGGCTGAAGTTTACCTTTAAGGTATACTTTAATAATCCACTTCTAAGGGGATTAGCAGAGCCGGTTTATGGGGAGCCTGGCCTCCTCCTATTTCCCCTGTTATATCAAAAACATGACTGCAAAACAGCAGAGGGCGCCCGCGAGCGAGTCCTCAATGAATGGGAGTAAATGGAGCTCAACGGCTAAAAACGAAAAGTTAAAGATAATTTGTAATCATTTGCCCAGAACTTTCCTTTAATTTTAGAAAGTAGAAGATGTGTTTCACTAAAAAAGCAAAGAAAACTTACCTGTATGTTTCCTTTTTTCTACAGTAAATGGGTTTTGGGCAGCAGGACGCTATCATTACTGCTACTGAGTGATGATTGGTTGGCGAGCGGAGCAGCTCATTGGCTGTTCGTGCTCACAGACGTTATGAACGTACATGAGGCGCCGTTTTAAACTCCTATAACTCGAGTTCAAAAACCCCTAAAAATACAGCAGTAGTGTTAAAATGTTTTATGCTGTTCTGTGTTCAGGAAGTGATTGTGTTCCTTTACATTAAAACTGTTTTTGTATTTATAAACTATGATTTTGTGCAAATGCTCCATATCAACCCATTCATTCTGCGCCCTCTAGTGTCTGAGAAACAAGGAAGACATTACAGAGTGATAATTCTCCTTACTACGAGTTCTCTGGGAGTAGGTAATTTTGCTGCCTATCTATGCCCAGGCTGGGAACAGCATAGTGTTGCCAGCAGAGCAGTGCCACCTGGAGCACTGGGGGTTTAAGTGCCTTGCCGAACGAATGGCACAACAAGGAATACCCAGCCAGTCCTGGGAGTATAACCTGCTGGCTCACTTCTCTTGCCACTAGGCTACTGGCCACTAGTGTTGAACCAATGTTACCTTTATAAACTAGTATATCATTAAAACCTGTAATCCTTACTGCACACGTTAATGTACATAATTCTCTTTCTAGATTAAACATATGATGGCCTTCATAGAGCAAGAGGCCAACGAGAAGGCAGAGGAAATTGATGCAAAGGTAAAGTGTTTACTGTTGTGAAATGCCTCACATAGCAGTGATATGCTGCAGTGAATCCCATCTGCTTTTTGTGTTAAAAGATGTGCAGTCATAGTGCATTTTATGCCATAGGCAGAGGAAGAGTTCAACATTGAGAAGGGACGCCTTGTTCAGACTCAGAGGCTCAAGATAATGGAGTACTACGAGAAGAAAGAGAAACAGATTGACCAGCAAAAGAAAATGTGAGTCGGTTCCACCTTCCATCTGTAAACAATCACTCTGTTTGCCCTTATGTACACTTTTCTTGTATACACTTCCTTAACAATTCTGCATGAATCTTCATATGTCTACACAGTCAGATGTCCAATCTGATGAACCAGGCCAGACTGAAGGTGCTTAAGGCTCGAGATGACATGATTATGGTATGACATTCATTTATTTACTCATTTATTTTTTTTGTCATAGTTGGTTTACAAAGGTATGTATGTAAATGCATGTAAAGCTCATTGAGAAACATGTCAGCGTCCATGAATTTCCCATTCCACATCCATTTGCTCTCATGTTTCTTTATGTAGGATCTTCTAAATGAGGCGCGTAAGCAGCTGACGGACATCGCTAAGGACCCAGCTAAATACTCAACTCTGCTAGAAGGTTTAGTGTTGCAGGTAAGGGTTTTGTTTCTCATTACAGAAACATCACAGGCAAGGATTGATGTCAGCCTAGACAGTTTAGACGTTAAAGTGATATTTCGGCTAAAAAATCCCCCTTGTCAGTCAGCCAAGACCTGTTTTAGAAGTTAAAAACTGTTGTGTATAAAAAAACAGCCAAAAAATTCAGGCATCAGCATGGCTGCCACTGCTTATTATAAGTATGTGACGTCCATTTTTTATTGATAACCGAATGCCAAACAGTGGCAGAAAACAAACAGGTCTGTTAGAGATCATTTAACAACTCAACACAAGTGTGTGATGATTTAGGTGTGCAGTGAGCGCTGTGCTAATTGGTGATCATAAGCTTCCATAATTTGTTACCTGCCTTGTAGCTCCAGTGCAAAACTGTATTTCAGTTAGCAAATATGTTTTGGTTGACTGACAAAAAATATATGTAAATTAGTTTTTTTTGCCAAATTATCTCTTTAAATAGGCTTTGCATTACCATAACATTTCTAAATGAATGCCTATTTTTGCTGTTTGTAATAGTGAAGATGGCCTCACTCCCTATGGATCTTATTGTACACTGCCCCTTTTTGTTAAAAGAAATGTGAAAAGCATAACCTCTGCATCTCTGAAAGCCCAGTGTCCATAAACCGAATGTTTTTACATTTCAAAAAAGTGCCTTTAAGTGACCGTGTCTCCCTGTATACCAGGCTTTCTATCAGCTGCTGGAACCCAAGGTGACGATTCGCTGTCGAAAGGATGATTTGCCCATGGTGCAGGTTAGCAGCACTTGTCTCCTTTAACTTGTCTCCTAATGATTTCCTTTAAACAGTGAGATTCATGCTATAATCCTGTGTTGGTGTTTATGTGGCTATATCTATATAGGCCAATTGAAGAAATGCATTGTTCTTGTTTAAATCTAGGCTGCTGTCCAGAAAAACATCCCCATCTACAAAGAAGCTGTGAAGAGTAAAATTGAAGTTTACATTGACCAGGACAACTTCCTCTCCCCTGATATGTAAGACATCATCTGCAATGCACTACAGATATTTCTGTTTCCATGACTTACTGTAATTTAGAATGCATGCTGTTTGTAAGCCCTATCAGCAACTAACAAGGGCCAACGCCAGGGACAACCATGATTGGTTGAGTGAGTTCATATCACTTGCAAAAGTTTGCAAAAATTGAACAGTGCGAATAAAATAATGTTGCACTTTTGACATTTGATGTTTGGTGTGCAGGATATGTAGGAGTACTTTTTAAAAATTAAAAAATAAAATTATATGGTTCTTTTAAGGCTGCACAGAGATGGTAATTAGTCCATGCAGTATTGTTTAGTAAGTGACTGATTTGTTCACAGACAACGAGGATGAAACAAGGAACTTTTTTGACTTTTTCCGTTTGTAAATATGTTGCTGCATCAGAAGATAATCCCCCTAAACCCCCCCTAAAAGTCAAAACCAGGGGTATTATCCAATGTTCTTGGCTTTTTAGTCATTATTATGAACTGGTGTTTCAAAAACTGTCTTAAAAGTGAAACTGATAATAAATATTGTTGTGTTCGTGTAGCTCCGGAGGTGTGGAGGTCTATAATGCTAATGGAAAGATCAAGGTGTCCAACACTCTGGAGAGCAGACTGGACCTCCTGGCCCAGCAGGTATGAGACACTTGGGCAATATGGGAAATCACTATTCTAGAAAGCAGAAAAGGGAAGGGCAGTGCAGGGGGCTGGAAGTAGAAATGATCTCATTTCTATCAATACACCATTTATTTTGGTGATCAATACACCATTTTTGAGACACTGCTATGCAGTCATTATCCTGTGCTGGAAAAGGAGCAGTAATGGATAAATGTGTGTCCTTCATGAATTTGTTTACTAATTTGTTTCATAATTCTGACATGGTGTGTCTACTGCAGTGTCGTGAATGAATCCATGAAGGAAGATTTAGCTCTCTCCATCAAGATCTAAATTATATTCACAGATTGTAACTTACATATCTATTAGACTCTGAAATGATTCCTATTCGCACACGTTCTCACAAATGTCTGCAGTTACTCAGAATCATGTGTATAGTCAGTATATATACATGCTAATAGTGCTAGTTAGCCATATAGCTTCCAAGCTAACTAATGATAACTTGACAAACTTTTTACAAAATGACTTAAAAATATCGACACATCTAAATATTATTTCATTGCATTTGTTTGTAATGTAATGTATGTCCAACAGCTCAACCTCAAATATGCTGTTTAGTTCATGTATGTTCTGTCATCATTATCATAAGACTCATAATGTTTAGATGAATGCCCTTCTGCGTCCTTCCATTGTTTCTTAGCCTTATATTGGAGGCATTGGGAAAGCATGAGGGTGACATTTAATGGAGTATAGCACCACCTGCTGCTTGCCTAGGGCATTGCTTCAACAGTGGTCATCGGCCTGTCAGTGTCAGTGACTCAATAAAAGACAGCAGCTCTCGTAGGCTGTCCCACTGGGTGGTCCGACAAAACCCACACTCTCAGTCCACAATATTTCATCTAATATAGAGATAAAGGGTTTTCTCCAGTAAATTAGCTACATAGCCTTTATAACAGGCCAAAGATTTGGAAGCAATGTTAACATTGCTTCCAAACAGGTCCTGCAGACATGACTTAACTGAATTAGGCATGTTAAGATAGGGATTTGTACATTATTAAAAGCTGATGAATGTAAGTCAGAGTGTGAAGAGTGTCAGAGTGTGAAGAGTGTCAGAGTGTGAAGAAGGCTTTAATAGAACACGCTAGAGTAAGAATGCAGAACAACAAGGTTAAACTAAATGTGTTGGTTGTTGGCAAATAAAGTTAACCATAAAATAATTTTAACTTTAATGGGGAAGAAAAACGTCTTGCTTCCATACTTTTGACCTGTAATGTACACATTTCTGTTAATGTTTTGACTGATTAGTTATTGGAGTTCCTCAGTGGTAATAATAGCCTAGAAGCACACACTGTTTTTGAATCTGTTTTCAATGAGGATAAATGCTGGGTAGCTCTGGATTCACCATATCTCTTTCTTTTCTCTCTTTGCCATCAATAGATGATGCCCGAAATCCGTGTGGCTCTGTTTGGAGCTAACCAGAACCGCAAGTTCATGGACTGACAGGTGTTCCTGCCACCAGATGAGCAAGGAGGGTGTTGGAGAGGGATTGAATGTGTTACACTTAAACTGAATATGACTCTCATGGAGTTCTATGCAAGATGTGCAAGGGCTCAAACTCTCTGTGGATTTCTCTCATTCACTTCCCAAAGCTCAACGGTCCACTTCTCTATTTTTCACTTGTTCTGCAGTTCATACCTGATGAAAGAACTGACTGGAAAAGTGCTCAGTGTGCTTGTATTTATTCAGTAAAACTCAGTTCAGGACCAGGGCTTACTTTACAGGATGTGTACGTTACATTATGCCCATGTTAAACTGTTTACTGTGTACACTTGATTATCTAGGCACTTATCTTCCACGAGGGAAGCCCACCATTTGCACTGTAGTCAGGCATGTGACTGTACTTCTGCTTTCTGACGTCCGTTTCCCTAATCGCTCACAAGGTCACCCTTAATTTCTTCTTGCCTTCCATGTTGTTAATTGACTTTGTTACCAACTGCAGTGACAGCTTTCTCAAGGAAGTTGGGATGATTACTCTGTCTTATGTATGGTTGCTGGTATGTGTGGTTTCCTGTGTCTTTGTGTCGTTGAATTGATTGATTTTTGTTGCTGTATGTTGATGTGATTTTTAAAACGGAGAAATAAATCAAATATATTTTATTTCTACTTGGAAACATTTCAGTAAGAGTGGAAAGTCATGCTAAAATAACTTCTGTTACAATATAAACAACAAGCAAAAAAAAATCCTTTTCCTTCATTTTTGTTCAAAACAGGGGGAAACAAATGAGACAAAAGACAAACAAGTTCTGTACAACCAAATGTGTATCAAATTAGTACATAACCATTTATTGTAGGAAATTCTGGGAACCTGTTGCCCCTTATGGACAAAATACTGCACATCAGTGCTCAAACATGCATCATAGTGTATGTCATTATACTGTATATGAATTTCATATAGTCAGATCAAACCTGATCTAGAATACAGTGAATTTTCAATGGAAAACTTTTATCAATACTGATTTCAGCCCACAATTAGAGAGCAATTCCAATTTTTTTTTTCAAAAACTCCCCATAATTATTGTTAAGATGCAAACAAAGTTTTAGAGAAATGTGTCAGAGTCAGAATTGTTCACTGCAGTGCTGATAGGAACCAGACATTGTTTTTATGATAGGTTTAAAATAAAGACTTGGCCTAAAACTTGTATATTTTTGTTCAAATCAATTTATGGTGGAGTGGTACATGCAGGGAAGGCAATATAGCACCCAAAGTACATATTACCACTATTTTGCCACTATTACATTTAAAAACTTACATGGCACATGCAGGTCTACCAGTCGTTTTGTGTAGGAACTAAAATGGCTATATTTGCATCAGAGATTCCGACCCCTGGTTCCTATCACCACCACTGTAAAGAAATCTGAGTCAGTAAGTTTCTCTACAATGAACCATTTCACACCAAACCACTCTGAATGACTGTTTACATCTGAATTATCCTGAAATTGTGAAAAGTCAGTGGAATTCTTCCTTTAGTATGAAAACCAAGCCTATAAAATACCCACAAGGGGGCGCTTGTTCCCTCATGTGTCTTCCTGTACTGTATTTCTGGCAGAACTTGGACTGTGTTCAGATTTTTCCTCATCATCTCTTCCCTCTAAGGAGAGTGTTTTACCAGAATAACTATGATGATACTATGAGAACCTATATTTACAAAAAAAGACCAAAAAAGTGAGGATTGCATTGTTACCATATAGGGCTCTCCCCATGTTCTTACATAGACAAAGTCTTTCTTTGAGGTGCTTGTAGTGTGATTAGATGACATGATCAAGATTGTGGTCATTGTTTCAGAGGCACATACTCAAAAACATTTTGTAATGGCTTAAGCTGCAAAAACTTCATATCGGTCAATCGGGCACTACATATAAAACTTTATATTGGTGAATATATTGGTCACTGTGCTAAAAACGAAACATTCATAGTTCTCTATACTTGAAATCATGAATAAAAAAGAGGTCTCGCCCTCTGTGCCTGAAACAAATGCAGATTAAGTAATTGCAGTAATCACAAGTCAATAGACAATAATTAAGAGCATCTGAATACAATTATCTTTCTCTAACAGCCACTGATCTCGTGTCACTTTCGAAGTGACATTTGGGCCCCCCTTTAGGGCACGGAAAAGATAAGGCTTTATTGCATTAATTTTATTATGTGCACAAAAGATTATTTAGAATAGACGTTAAGCACAATGAAACAATGATCCAGCTATTGCGCAATTACATCGTACATGTTCCTGTCCCTTATAAAGGCCTGGAAGACCCCTGTCTCGATAACTTCTGTTTTCTCTACTTTACAACACCTTATTTAACTCATCTGTTAGTGCTTGATGAGTTAGTCAGATGTGGAAAGCTCAACAGCCTGCTTTAAAAGAGATACTAAACTCGTTCAGAGTTTAAAATGGTTGTCTTCTGAAAAATTAGATTTACAGAATTTGCATCTTATCAAACTATAGTTAACCAGCCAAGGCATGTTTAGTGTCTGAACTTAGCTTTTTTTGTTTTGCACTGGAGATACAAGGCAATGTAAGTAATGGAAACTTGTGCCAGTGCCAGTTTTTGAGGAGCCCGGCCTCTTCCTATTTCCCCCATTATATCAAAAACAGGACTGCAAAACAGCAGAGGGCGCCCGCGAGCGAGTCCTCAATGAATGGGAGTGAATGGAGCTCAACGGCTAAAAAATGAAAAGTTGAAATAGTTTCTAATCACTCGCCCAGAACTTTCCTTTGTAGAAAGTAGATGTGTTTCACTAAAAAAGCTAAGAAAACTTACCTATATATTCCCTTTTTTTCTACAGTAAACGGGTTTTGGGCAGCAGGACGCTAACATTACTGCTAGTGAGTGCTGATTGGTTAGTGAGCGGAGCAGCTTATTGGCTGTTCGCGCTCACTGACGTCATGAACGCACATGAGGCGCCGTTTTAAACTCCTATAGCTCGAGTTTAAAAGCTCTTAAAAATACAAACAGCAGTGTTAAAATGTTTTATGCTGTTCTGTGTTCAGAAAATGATTGTATTCTTTTACATTAAAAATATTTAAGCAATTATAAAGCTCCATCTTAACCCATTCACTTTGGACTTGCTCGGGAGCGCCCTCTAGCGTCTGAGAAACCCGCAAGACACTTCAAAGTGGTAATTCTCCTCTACAAGTTCTCTGCTTGTACCCCACCAATTAGCACTGTGCCAATTGATAAGGGATGTGCTGTAGATGGTTCTATATAGCACCCAAAAAGGTTCTTCTAGGGTTCTTCGATGTCAAGCTTGTAACAATAGAAGAACCTTTTTGGGTGCTACATAGAACCCTTTTCGAAAAGTTCTATATAGAACCATCTGCGGCACATTCATGCGCATTTGCCATCAATCTGAAGAACGCTTTCATGATGCAAAAAACCATCTAATCATGCAAAGGGTTCTTTGAGTGTTCATGGTTCTACATAGAACCATTTTCTTTAACAAAGAGCAATTGAAGCACCATCTTTTTTAAGAGTGAAAATAATCAATATACACACTTAAAAAAGGTGGTTCTCCAAGGGTTCTTAAGTAAAGAAAATGGTTCTAGATAGAACCATGAACACTCAAAGAACCCTGATTAAAAGGTTCTTTGCATTAAGAAAAGGTTCTTCAGATTGATGGAAAATGCACATGAATGTGCTGTACATGGTTCTAGATAGAACCTTTTTGAAAAGGGTTCTTCTATTGATACAAGCTTGACATTGTAATAATAAAACAAACCTTTCAGGTGCTATATAGAACCATTTTCAAAAAGCTTCTATATAGAACCATCTACAGCACATTGTCCATCAATCTGAAGAACCATTACATGCAAAGAACTATTTAATGCAAAGCGTTCTTTGAGTGTTCATAGTTCTATATAGAACCATTTTCTTTACTAAAGAAGAACCATCTTTTTTAAGTGGTAGGTTTATGTCAGTTGTCGTGAAAGACTTATGTAGATGACATGTAGCCATGCAAATGCTGCCCCTCAGGAAAGTGTTACTCACAGGCTTCTCCCCTTATCTGTCGTTGGCTGATTGACTACATTTGGGCTGAGGGGGCAAACAGTAAATCAGATTTTTGGCTGACCCGTTGCCAGCGGCCTGATCCAGTTATAACTGGGTCTATCAGAAGCCGTGTATGCTGAGCTAAGGAAGCTAAAGTTTACATGTTGGTAGATGTAGCAGGATTGTTTGTTTGCACTAAACTACAGTACAGGGGTCCTTTAGGCCTGGGATCAAGAGCTGCTATCGCAGAGAAGCAATGCTAAGACAAGGCCTCAGCAGCAGCCCAGCAGTCTCTACTAAGACTGAGGAGACCATTACAGAGTTACAGCACGCAGAGACTGGGATTAAAGCACACAGATTACACGGATTAACAGCACAGACCCTATACAGCTCTTATCACGCCCTACCTCATGCTTGTGTAAAGTGCAGCACTGATTGCTCTTCTGCCGTTTTTGTGCATTTAGCAAGCTGTCATTAAGTCACTCTCTGCCGCATCTGTAGTGTACGGTCAATTATAATTACACTGCTTTTCTCACTTAGAAAAGAACAGAAAGACTTGCTGACTTGAAACTCACTTTTAATAGAAGCCAACAGGCAGTTTCTTAACTCAGTTTGTGTGAAAGTTCTTGTAAAACGCATCTTCAGTCAAAGGTATCTGTAAATGAAGCTGTAAATCTGTATAATTCATTCTTTCAGAGATGGGACTAGTTCTCTAGAGGGAAGAATTTGAGGCTCTGCCTGATAACCATGAAAAGCAGAAAACCTCGAGAAAAGCATAAGAAACCAAAACTGTTTTCAACTGCAGTGCTCCACTTCTCAGAAGTTGGATTAAAACTGTGTAAGAATAGCTTTAGTAAAGTGTTGTCCCACTCTGTGTCTTTCCAAGAGCTGTACTGTTAGAGTGTAATGGTTATAGTTTCCAATTCAGCAACTGCCCAATGACTTCTACTATACACTCTTAAAACAGATGTGTTATAAAACAACACATTCTGTCTCTAATTAGATACATCAGTCACTTTTGACACAAAATGTGTTGAAATATTTCTGCGCCCAGTCAAGCGTGACACATTTTGGTGGTATTTTTAAAACAGAATGTGTTAAATCAGAAAACAAGATGACACAAAAAGTGTTAAAACAGGTAACACAAGTAAGTGTGTCGTAATTTAACACATCACTATTTAGAGTGTATGAGAGTTTCATGTCAGAGGGTTTTCAGTTCTTTTCTAAGTACAGGAGAGTGTGTTGAAATTAGGCATGTACCACTATATATACTGCTGTTGGAACAAAACATCGTATCTCCATTTTTCAAATACCTGTTGCCCTTTACATTGTTTGTAAATTCAATAAAAAATGGACAAAAAGAAACAGCAAAAAATCTGGTTCCTTTGACTTACATTAAACGTAAATTATGTTTTTTCCTTCTCCTGTAAAGTTATCATTTTGAAGATATGAGGTTTTGTTCCAACAGCAGCGATATATTTATACATATATATATATATATATATAGCATTTTTAAAAGTATGTTTTAAAGTCATAAAGCTATGTTATGAATGTCATTGTATAATAGCAGTGTGCAATATTTACAATAAAATATTCAATAAAATAAACCTTTATTAGAAACCTTTGTCAAAAAACAGCGATAATGCTAATTTATGCTAGCAGGAATGTGAGATTTTTCATTATATGTTAGCATCAAGCACAGCAGTGGAATTTTCCTTTCCCCACACTGGGTTCAGTACTGCAAGGCTCGAGTCTACACACAGACTCTGGACAAAGCGTGTAACAAATATTTAGGTAACCTTTTTTACTTTGGATGTTCCAGTTTAACGGGATTATTTAGTAAACATTTCAACTTAAAACCTAACTCAGCCTGCTGATCTGGTTGTTTAACAGAACTTCGGTCTTATTTTTAGCCTTTTATTTCATACACACAAAATTTGTGACTGCAAACATACATGTATTCACGAGTGTGAGCATTTTTTCACTCTCAAAGCTGAGCGAGACATGATTTTTCACCTTCACGAGGGAGAGAAAGTTCTCCGTCTGCTCCTCTTTCTGCTGTGCTGCGGCTGATTTTTTTTCCAGTTCCACTTGTAAAACTATCACGTGATGAGAATGTGACAGTGTAGTGATCTGCATAACTTAGTCCAGTGGGACTGCAACTTGTCTGACTAAATTGCAGTGTCAGTATTTCGAAGTGTCCCTGATAATGTTATTGTGCATGTTTAATATCGTGGTATACTGAATTACCGAATACTGCCACAAGTTTAGTTGAATTTAATATCTGTTGTAGTTGATGCTATGATACAGATGCGGCAGATAAAGGTTATCCTGAAAAATGCTTGAAGAGGGCCTGATCCGCTCGATTCAAACCGCTTTGGAAAGGTGAGGTTTTGTTCACAACATCTAACCCACATTTACAGTATTCAGCTTTCGGCAGTATCTGGTAAACCATGCCTTCTGATTACTGAAGACCCTACCCAGGACCCTGTTTAGCCCAAAGAACCCTGTTTGCAGCTTTTAGAACACTAAAGAAAAGCGATTAGTGTGCAATGTCACTGCTTGTGTTAGCGTTAGCAACCCTCCCTGTCTTTCCCCTCAACTTCCCTGACTCCTTTGGTTAAGTAAGTGGACATCTCCCTCTTTTTAACCACTTACTCCCTCCCTCATCACCCCCCTCTCCACATGTAGAAACAGTACTGTGTGTTTGTTCTTCAAGATGAGACGCCGCCTTCTCCGTCTCTATCCCAAAAGCCCCAGCACCTTCTCCCCGATACCCAGGAAGTACACGCCCTGGGCGATCCCAAAGAGCGGGGCGATGACCAGCGCTCGACACGTCGCCCCTTTAAGAAAGGCCAGCGGCCCCTCTCGACTCAGGATGCGCCTGTTGAGGCCAGAACAAAACAAAACCACATTCAGAATTTTCACAGGCAAACACTATTTTAATGTTTTTTACCTTAAAAGAAAAGTTTGGCAAAAGTTTCCGTCTTAGTCTGAATGTAGTCCATCAACCAAGACATGTTTTAGGTCTAAATTGTGTTTCTTTAACTTTGCACTAGAGCTCTGATGGACAACAGGATGCTGCACAGCTAAGAACAGTAGTAGAAGCAGAGCCAGTTTAGGATGACTGGTCACCTCCTTGTCCCTTTATACCAAACTCACGTCTGTAAAAACACTACAGGGTGCCTGTGAGCAAGCTCTCGATGAATGGGGGTGAAAGGAGATAAACAACTAAAAACATTTTACATAATTTAAAAATGTCAGTCACCCTTTAGATTGTGTGTGATCTGCGTCTCTAAAATCTCTGGCAGCACCAAATACCACCAGAAGTTTAGCTGAATTTATTGAATGAAGGTTATACTGAAAAACACTGAAGTATTCCTTGAAGAGGGCCCGATCCACTTGATTCAAACCACTTTGGAGAGGTGAGGTAACCCACATTTACAGTATTCAACCTTCACCAACACCAAGTAAACCAGATGCCTGCTGATTACTCAGGACCCTGTTTAGCCCAAAGAACCCTGTTTGCTTTTGCTTTTAGAAAGCTAAAGAAAAGCGATTAGTGTGCAACGTCACCGCTTGTGTTAGCGTTAGCAACTGCTAAAAACATTTTACATAATTTAAAAATGCCAGTCACCCTTTAGATTTTGTGTAAATTGATTAATGGATCAACAGAAACAGTCCAAAATGAACCCGAATAAATATGAATCCATTAACATTAAAAGTTAAGAACGTTTTTGCCTTCTCCTATAAAGTTACCACTTCTGAAATAAAAGATTTTTTTGAGAGCGATGACACGTTTAAAATATATTTATAATGGAAGTTCCTTTAATTTTCCCTCAGAAAAAAAACAAAACAAAACAGTATTTTTCCAATTTTTACAGCAAACATTTTTTGGACAGTAGGATTTTTTGGTAGTAGCATTATTGAATGGTTGGCAAGCTGAGCAGCTCATTGATGGAGAAAATTGGTTAGAGCTCAACGATGTCATGAATGTACATAAGGCACTGTTATAAAGTCCTAGAACTGGAGTTCAAAAGCAAGGATTGTTATTCTGAGATTACAAGAGAGTTAACTCTTTTTCTCAAGACAACAACTTTGTTATCTTAAGATCACAAGATAGTTAACTTGTTATCTTAAGATCACAAGATAGTTAACTTGTTATCTTAAGATTACAAGACAGTTAACCTGTTATCTCAAGATAATAACTTTGTTGTCTTGAGATCATAAAAGAGTTAACTCTTTTTCTCAAGACAACAACTTTGTTATCTTAAGATCACAAGATTGTTAACTTGTTATCTTAAGATTACAAGATAGTTAACTTGTTATCTCAAGATAACAATCTAGAAAATTGTAACTACCTCATGGCCTCTCTAATTTTACACTATTTAATTTTCTGTATAAAAGTGATGAGCATATACAAACTATGATTATGCACATATGCTCCACAGGAACCCATTCATTTTGGAGCGCCCTCTAGTGTCAAACAAAGCGCCAGTTCTCTTCACTAGAAATACTCTGGTAGAAGCCATCTTGAAGCCTGAAGTTTGTGTATATTTTTGTCCATGTTTATAGATACTAGTATGTCATACAGTGTCAGAAACCACAAAAGCAAATATATTTGTGATACATAAAAACGTGACACAGTTTGAGGTGAGAATGCGATGATTTAGGAATGCAGCATGCAATACTAAATAATGGTCTATAAGCTTCCATTATTTGTTGTTACTTTTTAGCTCCAGTGCAAATTTAAGACGTAAATGTCAGCAAACATGTCTTGTCAGATTGACTACATTTGGGGTAAGCAGGGAAAACTGGGTAAATTTGGCTTTTTTTGCCAGCCTCTTCTTTTAAAACAATATTTCAACTCATATTCTATATTCCCCATACGCAACCCTTTCAATTCCTAACATTACTTTGGACAATAAAAGAATGAGAGAGGCTCATTATTGCTACATTCCAGGTCTTACCGTGTGCAGTCGATGATTCCTCTGTATGAATCTTCTCCCTCCCCCTTCTGCAAGGTCTGAAGCCGAGTCTTTATGACTGAAAACAATACATACGGTTACAGGTTTAGGGTTTCAGTTTGGGGTTTTGTTTCAGATGATTTCCACCAGTTAAGTGAATGAGTTGGAAAGCTTGCTGACGCTGTGTGAATACATATAAATAGTGAATCTATATTTCACTTTTTGCACTGGATTGAAATGAAACTGATTCAGATCCTGACCTACTGTGCTGTTGTGATGTACAATATGGCCCAGCACACTGTATATCATATGACAGTAATATAATGGAAATACAGTTTTGTGGAAACTCACCTAAAACCATTTTCTATTAGTTACTTTAAGCAGGGGGCTAAAACATTTTAGCCCTAGTCAGAAAAGGACCACAAAATCTGTTGTGTCATTAGTATACATTGATGACTGCATGGTACACAGTGTATATGGTAGTGTACACTAAATAGCCATAACATTAAAACCACCACCTTGTTTCCATACTCATTACTATTTTATCACCTTCACCTACCATATAGGAGCAGTTTATAGTTTTACACTTACAGAGTTTGGTCCATCTGTTTCTCTACATACATACATTCTTTAATGGTCAGGACCCCCAAAAAGACCACCACAGAGCAAGTACTATTTGGGTGGTGGATCATTCTCAGTAACACTGACGTGGCGGTGGTGTGTTAGTGTGTGTTGTGCTGGTACGAGTGAATCAGAAACAGCAGTGCTGTTTAAACACCTCAGTGTCACTGCTGGACCGAGAATAGTCCACAAACCAAAAATATCCAGCCAACAGCGTCCTGTGAGCAGCATCCTGTGACCACTGATGAAGGAATAGAGGATGAACAGCACAAACTGTGCAGCAACAGATGAACTGCTGTCTCTGACTTTACATTTACAAGGTGGACCAACAAGGAAGGAGTGTCTAATTGAGTGGACAGTGAGTGGACATAGTGTGTAAAAACACCAGTTGCACTGCTGTATCTGATCCACTCGTACCAGCGTAACACACACTAACACACTACCACCACGTCAGTGTCACTGCAATGCTGAGTATGACCCACCTCCCATGTAATACCTGCTCTTTGGTGGTCCTGTGGGGGGTCCTGACTGTTGAAGGACAGGGTAAAAGGGGGGTAATAAAGTATGCAGAGTAACAGATGGACTACAGTCTGTAATTGTCGAACTCTAAAGTGCTCCTATGTGGTAAGTGGAGCTGATAAAACGAATTAAGAGTATAGATACAATGTAATGGGTGGTCAGTGTATAATAATGACATAATGGCAGGGCCTCCTCTCCATCCTGTTTGTGGACACAAATGTACTCACCAGCAAGCTAATGATCTTATTCTACATTTCCTGGTGAGCACACAGGTTCTAAAGAGGATTAGAGCTGATTTTTGCAGCCTGAACCCGTTGGCCTATGAACTCAATAGCATTAGAGAGTATAGCCTTTTCTGAAGGAGAATGAATGAGAGAAAGAGAAGAGAGTAAAATCAAAGACAAAGAGAGCGGAAAGGGAAAAAGAGGGACACTGAGATACTCCATGCCTCTCTTGCCTGTATCTCACCGTCCAGTGGAGTGACCGCCACAGCCGCCACTGAACCTGCCGCACAGCCAGCCATAAAAGACTGCATGAAGGGAGCCCGGTGCTGGGGGTTACCATGGAGATCTTCTCTCCGACCCACCGCGTTGAGTTTGGCGAACAGCGGAAAGTAGATCATGGAGAACGGGACGTCCCTGAACAGAGAGAGGGAGAGAGAGAGAGAGAGAAAGAGAGAGAGAGAGGGAGAAGGAGAAAGAGGCAGAGACAGAGGGAGAGAGGGGGAGAGAACAAAGATAGATGGAGAGCAAGAAGATAGAGAAAGAGAGACAGCGAGAGAGAGAGAGAGAGAGAGAAAGAAAGAGACAGAGGGAAAGGGAAAGAGGGGGAGAGAACAAAGATGGAGAGAGAGAGGGGAGAGAACAAAGACAGATGGAGAGAGGAGAGAGAAGATAGATAGAGAGGGATAAGACAGAGAGAGAGAGAGACAGAGAGAGAGAGAAAGAAAAAGATAGAAGGAGAAGCAGGAGAGAGAGGGGAAAAAAACAGAGAGGGGAAAGTGAGGGAAATAAAGAAAATGAGACAGAAAAAGAGAGAGAAGAGAGAAAGAGAGAGAAAGAGGGGGGGGAGGGAAAAGGGAGAGTGTGAGAGAGGGAAAAGGGAGAGAGTGTGAGAGAGGGAAAAGGGAGAGAGTGTGAGAGAGGGGAGAGAGTGTGAGAGAGGCCACAGTGAGCATAGTAAAGTTAATCAGACATTGCTGTAGGACTTTTGATTGATTTATACTACAACAGTCTGACCATTCAAAACTAATGTGACACCATAATGGACAATTAATTAATTGCTATATTCACAGAACGAAACTCTGCATAGTTCAGAAATACATTATGACTGTGTGTTTCCTGTTGGCCTGGATTGGTGATATTAAGCTTTCAGGCCACTAACATAAACCTAATGTTAATTAGTGGCTGTGGATGACAAATCAAGGCTGACAGCCAACAGGTCACAATAGGTCAGTAAAAGATTACATCACTTATTTACCCTGTGTGTGTGTGTGTGTGTGGGTGCGTGTGTAGGTGGCTTTGTGTGGGTGTGTTTATTTGTGTGTGGAAGGTCATCGTAGCTGTAAACAATGCCATTCAAAAGTTTGGAATCATGTTTTAAATAACAATCAAATCAAATAATCCAGAGATAATATGCTAGGTAGTTCTCTTCCAACCCTACAGGTTTCAAATAATTTGCTGGAAGCAAGTTCTAGATATGTTCAGATGGTTCCATTACAAAGGCAGCAAAGCAGATAGCATTGTAAATAATAGAAATACTGTAAATGTGGGGAACCCTCAGTACCTCTGTATTTTTTTACTGAGGTACTGAGGCTCCCCACTGTTCATTTTTATTTTCTATTATCATGTTTGTTGCATTTTAAATTCTGCAGTTATTGTACTTTTATTTAACTGTTAAATTCAACATTTTTAACATTAATATAGCAGCAAACAACTATTTTCTATATATATATATATATATATATGTATATATAGATATAGTGGAGTAAAGGCCATTCCAGCCACACATGCATGTTAGTCATGCCCTGTGAAAACGTCGGCCCTCCGCACATTTTGTTTTGCCCCCCCAGACTGTGACCGCCCACACAGCATGCATGCACAATTTAAGCTGTAACATAAAAATTCGAATGAGGAGCTGAGGCGCTGGAATATAGTCTAGCTGCTGCACCCTTTTAAGGTGGAACGGGAAAATCTGAACAAAAAGGTGGCTAAAAAGAAGCTGACTGCAGCTTCACTGAGAATTGAGAGGTATGAAAAAGGATGAGGAGGTCGTTCCTGCTGGACAGGTAGGTAAAATTAACTCATTTTTGCTGTTTCACAGAATTAATAGGTCAGTATTGTTTTCTCCTAGTTGCAAATGTTCGTGATAGTAACTGATTAGCTTCACAACAGCAACTGTATTGTCAGTTTGCTAACCCACTACCGAGCTAACATTAGTTACACTACTTGCTGTGTGGTTGTTCACTCTAACGTTATATTATGGTATTTGTGTGTACAAAGTTTGCGAAAGGTTTTATGGCCACAAAGACCTAAAAAGGCACGTTGGCCTCGACAATGCGCGTCCACAAATTTGGGGGCGGAGTTTCTGAAGGAGCACTGAATGGAGAGGTGTGTCTGTTTTGCTGTTGAGTTCAAATATGAACAATCGTTTTCCAGATTCAATGGTTGGAAACTAAAGGGTTAAATTCTTGAAACAGCAAAAGGAAACTCGTCCACTCACATGTCCGTATATACATCTCTCTCACTGGTTAGGACATCAGGAGCTGAACTGAAGGCCTAACATGTCAGATTATCCACTAACACAATTAGTAGCTGACAGTGTAACCAACTAATAAGTTTTGATTTACAAGGATAGGATTAATTTTCTGAAAAAAAACAAAACATTGCTCTAGATACATCACTGGCAGCAGTTCTATGCCGGCACTCTTTACTGGAAGTTACTGTAAAACTGCTTCAAGGTAAAATATATGTGAATGTTCCTGTTGCAAGCTGCATGGAATGTACTTCCATTTGTACTAATGACTTGTAAATGAACGGTATGTTTTGAAACTTTAACAATTCCATTCTACCTCAAATTCTTTCATTCAAAAAGTGAAGAAATGTTTTTTCATCATAAGAGCCCTTTAATAACATTATGTTTTCCCAAAATGCTTGAAATAATAAATAAAACTTCTAAAATACCATTTGGTGTCAAATGTATATTATCCGTTATTACTATATGTGAAATATGTTAAATTATTAATATGAAAGGTGATTACAAACTTTTGAATGAATGAATGTAGTGTGCAGTCTAACCTGAGCAGAGTGGCCCCAGTGCCCCTGTACAGCCCCCTGAGGCCCCGCGTCCTTAGCAGCTCCAGAGTAATGCTGGTGGCTGAAGCCCGGCGTGCTGCAGCATGACCTGACTGAGCTGTTCGAGACGCCACCAGAGAGGGAGCCGGAGAGGCGGCCGGAGCCGAGGCCGAGACCGACCTCTGGGCAGCTGTGGAGACGCACAAAGGGGACCTTAAATGCTGGCATTACAATTGATGACTTTCTGTTAGCTATCCTTTAGCCCATTATCAGTGGTCAGTTTCAGACTACAGAGCCGCTCTTGGTTGAGTATGTTTGGGTGGTGGTCCACTCTCAACCTAGCAGTAACACTGACGTGTGTAAAAAAAAACCCACCCACACACCAGCAGCACTCGCTGCCATCTCAGTGTCATTGCGGTACTAAGAATGATCCACAACTCAAATAATGTCTGGATAACAGTGGACCTATGATAAAAAGGTAGAAGGGGGTTTATAAATTCTGCAGTAACAGATGGTCTACAGTCTGTAATTATACAACATGGACTATAAGGTAGGCGTAATTTATAAAGTGTTTAGTAAGTGGAAGTACAAGTTAGGTGTTTCTAATAAAGTGGCCAGTGAGTGGAAGTATAAGGTAGATGTTTCTAATAAAATGGCCACTGAGTGGAAATACAAGGTAGATGTTTCTCATAAAGTAGCCACTGAGTGGAAGTACAAGGTAGATGTTTCTAATAAAGCAAGTGTATGACAGGTGTATATTGTGTAAGACATTTACTTTGCCAGCAATTTTATTTTCCTAAAAGAGAATTTTCTCTTCTCTAACAAACCTGATTATTAGCTCATTACGTTCTCGATAGTTAGCTATTACACTGAATCACGTGTAATACAGTTGTGAAAGCTCCATCCTGTACAGTGCTGGAGCCTTCATGGCCTGGATTGCCCTGCTTACCTCATGTTTACCTCATGTTTACAACAGCAAGTTAGGTCACAACTCACCCAACCTGCCAGCGTCCTGCAGCTGTATTTTCAGCATCTCCATGGGGGTGGTGACCACCACCTGACATGTTCCCGCCCCACAGCCTGCAAGGATCTCCCCCCACAAGGGCAACTTCCTTTAGGTCAGAAAAATGAACGGTGAGGTCAAAAGAAACACTACAATAATTATCTCTTAAAGATATTTAGGGCACTGGTCAACTTATTTACTTACTAACATAAATGAGAATCATGTTCATTATAAAATTTACATCATGCATTCATTATATAAATCTTCTTATGGTCGTGTTTCTTTCAATGCATCTGTGCTAATCGTTCAGAACAGTTGAGAGAATATATACCCGTCTTTAGAGAGCTGCTGCCTGAAGACATCATTGGCTGCAAGTTTGATGGCTTTTTCAGGAGTTACGAGGGTGAGGTTCACTGCAGCGCCTGGAACAGTTAGTTTGATGGGGCAGAGAACACAAGAGTGAAGTGTGTTCAATAAACGTGAACATTTAAAGGTGATATTTTGTCACATTAAACAAATTTAACCATAGCATTTGCATTTAAGCAGAGTACAAGTCAATTCTAGACATAGAAGCAGTGGGTATGAATCTGACACAGACAGCACAGGTTTAAGTCTGTCATACCTCGATACATGCCGAAGTAGCCCTCTGTCCTAATCGTCTTAGTCAAACAGTCCAGCCTTCACAACAAAGGAAAAGACGTCTTTCAGCCAATGAAATTACTATTGGTCATGATCTCTCTTATATGAAATAAAACTGCTGCTTTTGTTTGAAGCAGAAAGACAATAATGCCACCATTTATTTGCAGGCAACTTGTTAACCTCTTAAATGGCCAATGACCTATTGGCAGGACCAGTCTTCCATTCCATACTCCTACAACTTTAGAATAACTCAGTTTGCATTGTTTTTAATGTAATTTACTCAATAATAAGCCTTAGGATCTAATAAGCCTGGGGTTTTAAGCCTTGTGCACTGTGCCTGGCGATTACATACTATATAACTCACTGATAAGTTATAAGATGATGAAGCATTCAAGTACTGTCACAGATTAAGGTCATCCCAGATGTTTTTTCTCCTCCAAAAACAGGTGTTGACATTTTTCTCAAGCAAATACAGTACAGTGCAGAAGTCAGAGACAACCCCTAATTTATTATTTAATTTTCAATTAAAACAGCCATTAAGTACAAGTTTTTCATTTTTCATTGTCAGGAAAAAAGCAGAAAAGACATTAACAGAAAATTACAGCAACTAAAATTAACATCATTCATTTCAGTGTTGAGTGTCTCCACCCTTTGCCTTTATTACAGCTTCCATTCTTTTTGGGAGACCTCTAAGTTGAGTCTCAGACGTTGGTTGCATTTTCTGATTCTCACAAAGCAAGTAATCCCAAACACATTCAGTGATGTGGAGGTCTGCACTCTGGGGTGGTCAGTCCATCGATCTGAGAACACCAGCAGCAGCTTTGTTTGTCTCCTTTTCTCAGTGAGAGCTGAGCTACACATCCTTTCAGAAGGACGGAAAGAAATATATGTGGATTCTTTCAGATCTGAAGCAGCTTGATTTTCTCCTCTCTCTCAAAGATGTAAGCTCCAAGTGCTGTTTATCTGATGGGGTCAGTTTTGGTGGTGTATCAGGTCTTGCACAGTTGTTAAGAGTCTCATTTTCTCTTAATCTATATATATTATGGTTTTTTTTTTGAACTGCAGTTTTAGAAACAAATGCTTTTTCACATATTTTCCTTTGACTTTCTCCTTCCTTTATATAAGTGAATAATTTTTTTATCTAATCTCAGAAATATCTCCTAAAAAATGAATATCCTGTCAAATTTACATCCATTAAACACATCATAGAACAAAAGTTCTACACTAAGTTTACTTTCTTACGATATTGTAGCAGACCCAGGCTCTAGTATTCAATAATAATAGAATAAAAAGCCCAACAGGCCTGTAAAACATCAGAAATAAAGGGGCCATAAATGAGCTCTGACTCAAAACTCCCTGTGGGTCATCGCATCCAAAACATCCGCTTTATCTCGCTTTCACTGAGAACTCTTAGAAGACAGCATGCTGCTAGAAAGAGTGCCTCAAACATGGCAGTGGGCCTTTTTCTGTCTGCTTACTTAGGTATTCACTGGGATTCTTATGTAAGTAAACAAAGAAGGTGGAGGATGCCAGAGAACCACTCTGCTACAACTTGCTTGCTCTTTTAATGCCACCACACAGTGCATCAGCCCTTGGGTGACTGTGCAATTTGTGCAAAAGGACCTAATAACACAGACAGCGGCTGGGATTGGTATGCACACTTGCCTAAACTACAGATGGTAGAAGCACGTGGCTCAAGCAGTTTTGCATCATCTGTGTGAGTCATAGTAGTCACATGGTAATAAAGTTCACCACAGCAACTCTCTGCCCAGTCAGGATGTAAACAAGCCCTAATGTATCCCACATGGACCATTCTAGCCTCTTTTCATGGGGAAACGCCCTGTAGGGCGTTCTTCAGTACCAGGGACTTTTGCTAGGGACTCATCTATTCATTAGAAATGGCATTCCACATTGAAGTAAAACAGCAGAATATCTCCAACTTGGCAGCTTGATAAAGTTTAATGTTAAAAATCTCCCATTATGGACTCAAATCCACACTGTGAGGCTTGAAGTAAGACAGTGAGTTAACCCCTTAAAAAGGAATTCCACTTAAAAAAAATTCTACATGATTAAATGATTAAGATTAAGAAGTAAACAAACTCATCTAGAGTGATTTGATGTAAAATGTTCCACTTTAGAGAAATTTACCAGAATTGTTTACAGTGGTGGTGATAGGAACCTGACATCTGAAGAGTCTAATAACAGAAAACTATTAGAAATGGTTATGAATCTGCTGCCTGAGACATTGGCCTCTTTTGTACAGCAAAATGGTTCTCAGGGCTGTGCTGGTGCAGACTCGTGAGACCAGTTACAGTTTCTTTCCATCTGCTATGTTGCTGAACCAGAACCAGGAAATACTGAAGAAAACTACACTAAAGAGTGGCTGAATGCTAAAAGCCTTACCCACACACACTCAAACACACATCAAAATTAGTTTTGATTCCATCTGTCACTCAGCGTGTTCTCAGATCCTTTATCCTGTAAACTAATGTTATTTGAGCATCAGTACTTAACTACACTACCACTAGCATAGCCCAGCAGGGTACAGCCAGAGATGTTAAAAAGGAGGAGACCAGTCGTGGTTTTAAATATGAATGGGAACACTCATAACGCTCAACATGGTGTCTGTTGGCAGAGAAAGTCCTGCCCTTCAATAAAAAAAGCCAATCAGCTTGATGGTTATGCCGCAAGTTGGGAAAGCCCCCCCTAGTTGTGGAGATCTGCACAAGTACAATAGCCAGATCAACCGTTTTTGTGCATTATTGAGCCAAATGCTATAAATTATTTCTGAGGTTTTTGTCAGATTTTACCAATGATTTCAAATATGAGTATTTAGGTTGCTCCCCTAAATGGCATCTGGTCTCATACGATTGAAAATAACCGCCAGGTGGCATTGTCGAGATGGCTGCAGAGTGAACAGACTTTTCTATAATGATATGGGAACAGCTCAAACCACCACAGACCAATTCTATTTTTTACCTTCTGTCACTTCAACACCACACATTAAAATCTGTGATCTCATATATGAGTTTTTATCTTTTAAATGGGTGTTTTTAAGCAATGGCTTGCTGTGCTGCAGTGGGAGGCACTGTATATTTGTGTTAGCTTAACCTAACAGGCTACAACTTAAAACATTACAGAACAATTTCAATTTCCAATAAGTTAACTTTGCTCTTACTGTTGTAAGTTTTTATCATCTATATTTGTGATCGCAATGCACTAGTTAGTCAAATCAACCTGTATAGGGTGTTTGGATCTCATTAGCTAAGCTATGTTAGCTAGATATTTAGTTAGCTAGTTAACTTGATATTTATTGGACGGTACATTTAAAATCATGCACTGCTGTAATTTATTTCACGACTAAAATGTATCTTTAAAAACACTTGCAGGGCAGAAAGGTACAAGCAGAGTGTTGCAAGACAAAATGGTCCTCAAAGAAAGAATTTTTTCCAGACTTACCACTATTTGACCATTATCAACATTATATATGAAAACTCATGGTTCACTGGCCATTTTTGGAAACTATATAAAATGGCTGATAGGGTGTGCAAAAATGATATATCGGCATCAGCAGATATTTGCTTAACAATATCATTATCTGACATTTCAAACTGGTATTTGATGATGTCTTTATTGTATTCCAATCCTAATATCCATTCCCATTTTCCCTAATATTCTGTTGTAGGCATTGCAACCCCTGGTTCCTATCAACACCACTAGAAAGCAAAATCTAAATCTGTAATGCACAATTTCACATCAAATGTGATCTGAATGACTTTCTATACATCTCAGTGACTAAATAATGTAATTTTGAAAAATCATAAGACTTCCCCTTTAAACCGTAAATTTTCAATACAAACAATCTCAAAACTTCTTATTCAGTGACTACTTTAAATTATTCAGTAACTACTATATAACTAATCTGTAAGTAACATATCGCTCTTGTCAGAAAAAAAACTCGTATGTCCATTTTTGACATTTTTCTGTTTTTGATATAATTTGAAAATTGAAAAATGAAAAATTGAAAACTGAAAAGACTTGGAAAAAAAGTCTGGTTCCATTGATTTACATTAAAAGTAAAGTATGTTTTTTCCTTCTCCTGTAAAGTTACCATTTTGGAGATACGAGGCTTTCTTCCTACAACAGCGATATGTTCGAGTACGGAATTGAAGTGCGGGCCAAATACGGACGCTTGGGGTTTAAGGGCTTAATTCAGCCGTGGTAACTGCACCGTATAATCTTGCACCTGCAGCCTTTCATTGAACAATTCATATCAAATTACAGCACCGTGTAGACAAAGAGAAAAGATTTCTCAAAGGAGAGGAATTACTCACATCCCACTATAGACTCGAGCACCCTGCTGATTTTGAAGGCGGGTCTTGGCCAGATCAATGGGAAACACGCAGGTGACACCCACCAGCCCTGCCACACCCCCATTAATCAGCTTAGCAGGGAGGCTGCAAATGGCAGGAAACATAAACACATGCAAACACACTGGCACACAAAGAATCAGCAGCACAGACTAACCAGCATGCAGGCACATGTCTAAGGATAAAGGATCAAAGGCTGTGATTCATTGTCTGCTGGTCTTTTGGGTATAATTAGTCCATTCAGGTTAAAAAAGAGGACAATTTTACTTGTAGATTTACAGAAAATAAAAGTTTTACCTGACTTTCTTCTCGGGCATCCTGCACAGCACCACCAAGCCTTCTGCTCTCCAAATCCGCTGCACTCCTCACACTCCTCTTCCTCTCACACTGTATGCCTTGATCCGAAGATGTGACACCAACCTGCCAGGGCCTGCCTGGCCTGCCTGGCCCACCTGCGTGAGGTGGCGCTAATGGGCTATACACACTTTCTCCTTGATTCCTAGATTCCAGGTAGTGTCCAAAAGAGCTTCACAAAGTGCCTCTGGAAATCCTGCTCATATCCTCACCATCTAAAGGAAGAACAACCTCAGAATTAGGGAAACAATTTTATTTAATTAAGTTTTTCACAACAGACATCGTCCCAAACATCAAATGTGGGTTCAAGCCATTGGCAACAGTGTCAGAAAAAACTCCCTAAAAGCATGAGGAAGAAATACTGAGAGGAACCAAGACTCAAAAGAAAAACTCTCCAAGAGCATGAGGAATAACCACTGAGAGGAACCAAGATCACCAAGAACATGAGGAACCTCTGAGAGGAACCAAGCCTCAATAGGAAAAACTCCCTTTCAGCACAAAGAAGAAGCACTGAGAGGAACCACTACTCACAAGGAAAAACTTCCTAAGAGCATGAGAAGGAAACACTCAGAAGAACCAAGACTCAAAAGTAAAGACTCCCAAAGAGCACAGGGAGAAAACACAGTCAGAGGAACCAAAACTCTAGGAGCATGAGGAAGAAACAATGTGAGGAACCAAGACTCAAAATGAAAAACCCTCTGAAAGCATGAGGAAGGCCCACTGAGAGGAACCAAAACTCAAAAGTAAAAACTGTAAAAGCATGAGGAAGAACCACTGAGAGGAACCAAGTCTCAAAAGTAAAGACTCCTGAAGAATAAGAGGAAAACAACATAGAGAGGAACCAAAACTCTACAGTAAAAATTCTGAGAGCTTGGGGAAGAAACATTGAGAGGAACCAAGATTCAACAGGGGAATCCATCCTCCTCTGGGCAGCACAGGACAGTGCATTTAGTATATAAGTAGAACAAGTTCACAAGCAAGATTAAACACTGGGAGCACACAGAGTAAAGACCTGTGAGATAAACCAGTTGATGGTTCAAGTTCAAAAAACTTTCAGAAAAAGTGAAGAATGACAGATTAATCTTTTCATTTCTGAAATATATATCCCAACCAAAGGAGCTGTCTGACTTACAAACTTGTTGACATTAGTTGCAACTGCGCTTTACACCAAGTATGTACCTGCTGACCGGACTGAACAAAATGGCACGCATTATTTAACAAAGTTCATCCAGTGATTTATTTTTTGTGTGAGGATTTTAGATATGAGAACAAAAAGAACATCCATATCAGGATTACAGGAAGTTTGTATCTGTCCTGAAGATAATTACAAATGATGACAAAGCAGAGAACGTCCTCTGTGATGCATATTACAGCCCTGAACGATTCATAAAAGCAGTATAAATTTTACCCCTGGTGAGCCGATCAAAGATAGAGAACATCCTCGCCTTGAAAGTCTCTCTAATCTTCCTGCTAAAGGGGTTATGACCTCCTGAATTAGCAGGGAGGGGGCAGCTCCAGACGAGGGGCTTACAGTCTCCTGATTCCAGAGCTTCCACATGAACCATCAACAAAGACAGATCACGGAAATTGGAAAACACCCTGTCTGTCCTCTGTAACTGGTGGTTCACATCATATAACAAGACAGCTCCATTAAACTGACTATTCTCTAAGTCAACAGTGTTGCTTTAAGGCTTGTCATTACTAACTGTACATTGTACATTCAATTAGTTGTGTTGCTAGTTTTCTCTAGTTTTGTCTGCCATTCTAAACCTCCCTAATTAATCTCACTCACTTAATCTCTCCACCTACATTCCTGCTGTGGTCTATTTTTACCACTGTAAAGCTCCAATATATCGGTCCGTCCTCTTTCTGCTTTAAATCAAATACAAATCACAGTGTCATCTTTGGGATATCACTCTCTCTCCTCTCCTGCCACAATCACATCCTCCTCTCTTCCACTCTGTCTGTCTTTGTGGAGCCTGGGCGCATTCTGAGCATGCCTTTCACTGTTCAACTTTCCTTTCAGCTCCACTCCTTTCACACTCATCTGGTGCCAAATCACACACAAAAATCCTCCCCCTGCCAACACCATCCGCACCCAAACTTCCCACAACTATCCCCACCACTGCCTTACACTCAAATCAGGTCATTTTGCCATTGCTACAAGTTTAAATGCCGCTTCAGAAGACACTTACCTCTGTCCATATGTCCCCTGGACTGGATCAAGCTGTCCGCTTTCCCCTTTCTGCTCTCTGACAATGTGTGCAGCAACCGTAACCAAGTGGAAGAGAGGGAGCTGAGAGGGCCGGCCGCCACGCAGGGGCTGTTACACAAACACCAGCATTGTATCCCCGCAAGTCCCTCCCTCTTCTGGTGACTCCCAGTGACACAGGCAGGAACACGCAGCTTTACACTAATGCGACATGACACCACATATACACAGAGCACTTCACTGACTCACTGACTCAAACAGGTCTCAAGCTATACAGCAACAAAGTTTCAGGGATGGAAGTCCAGAGTATGTATGAATGCATATATACACACAATAGAATTAAAGGGGAATTCCATTGATTTTTCATCAGTTCTACATTATTACATCTTTAATATGTAAACACTGTCATTCAGAGTGGTTTGATGTAAAATGTTCCACTGCAGAGAAACTTACCAAGTCAGAACTGGGCACACTGGTGGTGATAGGAACCAGATGTCTAAAGTGTTTAATGCATATAAAAGCTACCTTTACAGGAAATAGTTACAAATATGCTGCCTGAGACATTGTTTTTATGTTAAAATTTGGTATAAAACATATTTTTAAAAAATCCACTCATTGCAGAGAGGTACATGCAAGCAATATGAGGCAAAATAGTACCCATAAAAATGTTTTCGGTAACACTTTCTATGAATGTCACCTTTGTAAGCATCTATAAACACATTTATAACATGTTATAATGTATTCATAAGGCATTATAAACATGGTTATAAATATTTATAAAACGGAATTACACTGAATTACACTTTATAGCCATGTTTATTATACATTATGAATTGTTAATATGATGCATTATAAATAGTGTTAATAACATGTTATAATGTCAGTGCCAAAGAAGTCAGTCCCAGCTTGAAGAGCATAAAGTAAAGACAAATACCAAGCTAACGGTGGTGTACATTACCTTTCCCACATTGGGTAAAACACTGATGGCAGCACTAGTTTAAACTCTGACATTTGAAGCCTGTAATGTGCTTTATTATGAATGTTTTAGTGTTTCAGTAAATCCTTGAGTAAATACTTCAACTTGAAGCCTCACTCTTAACACTGGAGGAGGCTTTAGTACAGTACGCTTCACTTTATGTAGAGCGGACAAATACAACTTATGAGCTCTTATCATTTGTTATGATCAGTACTTATAATGTATTATGTTAACAATTCATAATGCATAATAAACATGGCTATAATGTATAATGTATTTTTATAAATATTTATAGCTATGTTTATAATGTCTTATGCATGCATTATAACGTGTTATGAATGCGTTTATAGATGCTTACAAAGGTGACATTCATAGAAAATGTTACCGTTTTCTTTAGAATTACTGCTATTTTACAGTTATCAAACTCATGATAATTGAAAACACAGGCAGGTTCACTGGTGGGATGGTAAATAACATGACTATAATAACATGGTTCCTATCACCACCACTGTAAAGAAATACAGTCTGTACGTTTCTCTACAATGAACCATTTCACATCAAACCACTCTGAATGGCTCATAATTAAAAAATTGGAAATGAAGATATTTTGAACCTTTGTGAAATTTAACTTTAATGCACATTTATGTACATTTATACATACATAAGAGTTGAACTGTGCAAAATAACCCCTTAAATTTGATGAAATTTAAAATTTAAAACTATGTCTTTGACACGCCCCTTTATCTCTTCTGAGCATCTTTTATGTGCCATCTTTTGTGGAAACAACTGTCAGTATTCAAATCTAGGCATCAATCTAGGCATTGGGCTGCATCCTGTATATTTCTGTATTGTTTACAGTTCTGTTTTGTAACATCCATTATTTTGAAGCCAGTCAAAAGTTTAGACACACCTACTCATAGATGGGTTTCCTTATTTTTAACCTTCTATTTTACTCGTTTTAAAAAAATGAATACATCAATCTATAAAATAACATATATGCATTTAGTAAATATAAACAAAGAAAATCAAAAACATCTTATATTTTGGACTTCACGCACTCTGGGCATTCTCTCAAGCAGCTTCATGAGGAGTCCACTTTCTATATGCCAAAACTTTGTAGGCTGCTGATAGCTTTGGAAAACGTTCCAAAAAATCATAGTAAGATTTTCATTTTCTAAGTTCTAAGTTCATATATAGGCATGACCTTTTCTTTAGGTAAGACATTTTAAACATTTAAGCAAAAGTCTATAGATCAAAATGTCTTTAAGAAAAAAAAAACACACATTCAGTCCTGTGTGTCTAACGTTTAGACTGGTGGGGTAAATTCTACATTTTCCTGCACCAAAGCAATGTGTAGTATGTGATTAGAGCTTTTTAGAATCCAGACATTTTAACACACAAAATATTGAAAATCGTATTGTACCTGAAGGTATATATATCATTACAGCCAAAACTGATGCACAAGAAAATTTTCTACAATATACAATAATCAATCTGATAATAAACTGAATAAATGTACAGTGAATAATATGAGCACTTGCATTATAAACAGGACAAAGTACAGTTAAAGTGTACAGTGTATGTGCAGCTGCATATATTAATAGTATAAGATTTGATGCTATGTGCTGTAAAACGCAGAAATTCAGTAAACAGGCTAATTAGATTCAGTTATTTGGCTCAATTTGTTTATTATTATTAGGCTAATCTTGAAACTAATTATTCAGTGACTACTACAAAATATTCAATAACTAATATGAAACAAGTATGTAAGTATTGTGGTTGTGAGTTATGAATTAGAGTTCAGAGTTTAAGAAAAGTTAAGCCTAAATAAATAATAGATAAAACTCAAAAGAAACCCTCTAAATCTAAATTATAAACACAATATTCCTATGTGAGACTCAGCAGCATGTCCACGAGTCTTTCACATCCTCTAGCCCAGGGGTCAGCAACCCAAATGTTAAGAAGAGCCATTTTGTCCATCCAACAAAAATCAAACCACCTTGGCAGCCACAACATCTTATGTCCATTTTGCCATCTTGGCTGTAAATATGTCTCAGTATGTGCTTCTAGCATAGGCTAAAAAATATGCTATAAACAAAAATGCAGACTTACTCTGCTCTGCTTTAAGCTTTAGCTCAGCTATAGCTACTTTTCTTGCATCTCCAGCAGGAAACCTTTCCTCAAAGATAGAATATTTTCTTGTAAAATGTCTCTCAATGTTTGACTTTTTAAGAGGCTGAAGTCACTTCTCATTCACAGCTTCTTGTCTGAATTTTCCCGTTCCACCTTAAATGGTGCAGCAGTTACATTCTGGAGCCTCAGGCACCATTTAAGGTGGAATGGGAGAATTCAAACGAGAAGCAGGAGAATGAGAAGCTGACTTCAGCTTCACAACTTTTTAGTGTTTGACAGTCTCTTGTTAAAGATTTAACATATAAGTCCATTCATCTCCAAATTATCGATATTTGTCTTAAATCTCTCTCTTTGCCATTTCGTTAGCTACTAGCTAGGTGAGATTGTTGTCTGCGATGCTATGGTGACCAGCAGTCTGCGTGCCAATCATCAGGGTTAAAGGGTGAACTAGCAGTTATACATTAACTCCAGTGTTTAAGACCATTTACTACTAAAACTGTGTTAAAACGACCAGCAGAGCTTTATTTTACTGCAAAGGAGGATTATTTTATTTTTACCTAAAAAAAATTCTGCTGTGGAGCCGCAACAGGACAGTAAAAGAGCCGCGTGTTGCTGACCCCTGCTCCAGGCTCTCTGATTCATGACTATTGATTTAGCCATATTGACTTATGGGCATCATGGGACTACACATGTAATTGATCATTTGTGTCAGTCTAGCAAGCTGAGGCTGGCACCATTCCAAACAAAGCTGCAAGAACCTGCTGATTCTCTATGAACGTAAGTCATTACTTAATATCAAAATTAGCATTTAGTAATAACTACATACGCTCTCATATAAGACCAGTATACTTACATTGTGCACTATGAGAACCAGCCCGTCTGAAAAGGCTGCATCAAGCTGATAAGTTTATTAGGAGTGGGGTTGATTTGCAAACTGAGCTGTCTGGAGAGATAAGAGAAACAAGGAGACACATATGCCAACTGTCACACACTCAACATGTGGAGGGGACAGTGGACAGCGATGGGAACCAAAGTCCTTATACACTCTTAAAAATGATCTTCAAGGGTCTTTAGTAACAAAAATGTGTCTATGTTGAACCATGAACGCTCAAAGAACCCTTTAATCATGGAAAGGGTCCTGTGCATCATTATAGCGTTCTTTCAGATTGATGGAGAACGTGTTGTCGATGGTTCTATACAGGACCTTTTTGAAAAGAGTTCTGTATAGCACCAAAAAGCGTTCTTCTATTGTTATGATGTCAAGTCTGTAACATCAGTCTGAAGAACAATGCTGTCCCACCTTACTGTTGCTACAACCGTCAAACTTTCAGCTTATGCCAACTGTTAGCACCTGTACGCACTTACAAAAAAACGGTTCTTTAAGAGCTCTTTAATAAAAGCAGTGATTCTATTTAGACCTATGAGTTTGTGAATCATGCTTAAATGGTTCTTCAGATTGATAATGTAAGGGTCTTCTATTGTTACAAGCCTGACATCGTAACAATAGCAGAACCCTTTTTGGGTACATAGAATCATTTTCAAAAAGTTTCTGTATAGAACCACACAACACAAAGATAAGTTACATTTTCATAAACTGGCTCTAAGAGTACGCTGATGATGTCACAGTCACGCTGCCACCATTTTGGTAGCCAACTTAAGTTCGCTTAGCAGCGCTGTGGCCGTTTGTAATGAGATAAAGCCATAACTGATCCAGCAAAGGCAGTAAAATTTTAAAAGGTACTGCCTTGATTTTATTTCATTTGTTGCTGCAGTGATAAATAAGGAAAGCTGCATTACTAATGTCCTGTCTTAAGCAGCATAATAGTACACTAAATAGTATGTAAAGATAGCGCATATATCGTTAGAAGTGCACTCATTAGTGTAGTAGGTGAAGTACAGAGATATGTGGTTTGGGACGCGGCGTTAGATCAGCCAGTGTACCCGTTCAACAGCTGCTTTGCTGTGCTACTCGTTAGTAGCTCAAAAAACATTTCTAATCAAACATTTAAGGTATTT